TGGGTGTGTGCATCCGTGCATGCGTCATGCGTGCGTGCGTGTCCGTGTTATGATGTGGAAATAATACTATCCCGAGGATGAATTACAATCAGTGTACAAGATATGTGTGTAGATATTAGGAAATTATAGGTATATTCTTCCTTTCGTGATGGTATCGGGAGTAGATAAGGCTGATCATTATCTACTGATGATGATGTGTTGTGAGTTTCTGTAGGTGTATGTTGCTATCTTGTTGTGACACGTCATGCAAATTGTTCTAGTTTCGTGTCATAGAAGGATATGTCATGCCGTGCGTTATCGTTACTTGTCACATAATGATACATTATGCTGTGTGTGTTTTACTTGTATGTCACGCAATAACGCATCATGATGTGTGTTATAAGTTGCATGTCACATACCGGTAATAGCACATCGTGCTATATGTTATAGTTGCGTGTCACATAATGACACATCGTGCTGTGTGTTTCAGTTGCGTGTCACATAATGACATATCGTGCTGTGTGTTTCAGTTGCGTGTCACATAATGACACATCGTGCTGTGTGTTTCAGTTGCGTGTCACATAATGACACATCGTAAACACACAGCACGATGTGTCATTATGTGACACGCAACTGAAACACACAGCCAGTTGCGTGTCACATAATGACACATCGTGCTGTGTGTTTCAGTTGCGTGTGCTCCCACAGTTCATCTTCAACTCTCGGGATCCGATCGTGCTGGGTGTGTCTGTAGAGGCGGGCACCATCAAGCATGGCACGCCCCTGTGTGTGCCCACGAAGGAGGTGAGTGCAACAGCAGATGCTGCCTTCTCTCTTCTTCCCCACTTTCTTCTCGTTCCCCTCCCGCGCGCTTCCTCTCGTCTCTCTATCCGTCTTTCCCGCTTTCATACGCACACATGCACGGACGGTTCATACACACACATGCACGGACGGTTCATACACACACATGCACGAACGATCATACACGCACATGCACGGGCGATCATACACGCACATGCACGAACGTATCATACACGCACATGCACGAACGATCATACACGCACATGCACGGGCGATCATACACACACATGCAGGCGCGCACGCACGCACGCACACACACACAGGCGCGCATCAGTGTTACGGTGCAAGCGTTTATATCACCCCACATCTCGCACGCTGTCTTTCATTCATGTTTTTCCCCGCTGCTAACGCGGCTGTGTGATAATGCGGGGGTTGTGTGTGTGTGTGCGTGCCTGTGTGTGTGTGTGCGTGGGCGACCCGCAGGTCTCACACGGGGCAGCAGCGGCAGCAGGTGTCTGACAGAGACGAGCGAGCACAGCACGTACTGTTTACGCCTGCAAACTGCCTGCGTGCCTTCGCGCGCGTGCGTGAGTGCGTGTGCGTGTGCGTGTGCGTTCGTGTGAGTGCGTGCTCGTGGGTGCGTGCCTGCCTGCGTGTGTGTGTGCGTGTGTGAGTGTGTGTGCTCGTGGGTGCGTGCGTGCGTGCGTGTGTGTGAGTGCGCATGTGTGTAGGAGGAGAGAGGAAGAGGTACTCAGGGAAGATGATGCTGACGGGGTATAGCCTATAATAGGCTATATTGTNCCTCTCTCTCGCTCTCTCTCTCTCCTCTCTTCTGTACTTCTGCTCGTCTCTCTCCTCTTTCGTCTTCTCTCTCTCTCTCTCTCTCGTCTCCGTTCTCTCTTCTCTCTCTCTCTCTCTCTCTCTCGCTCTCTCTCTCTGCTCTCTCTCTCTCTCCTCGCTCTCGTCTCTCTCTCTGCTTCTATCGTCTCTTCTCTCTCTCTTCTTCTCCTCTCCTCTCTCTTTACTGTCAAGAAAGTCTAACTCTCTGCTCAGTCGGCGTCTGCGAGTACATCTGGCTGATACGCTAAGCTCGGTAGAGAAAGGATGGAGCGGTCTTGCAGATGCTGCTCTCTCTCGTGTCCTGAGCATAGCTGTCTCCTCTGTGACTGCTCTCTGCATCCTTCGTCTCTCGCAGTCTGCTCATCGCTCTCTCGTTGCTGGAAGATCTGCGAGTCTCTGCTCTCTCTCTCTCTCTCTCTCTAGTCTGGTCTCTCTCGAAGATCTCAGGTGATAAGCAATCTCTCTTCTCTTCTCTCCTCTCGTCCTCTCTCTCTCTCTCTTCTCTTCTCTCTCATCGTGGGCGTCTCTCTCTCTCTCTCTCTCTCTCTCTTCTCTCTTCTGCCTCTCTCTCTCTCTCTCTCTCTCTCTCTCTTCTCTCTCTCTCTGTCTGTCTGTCTGTCTTGTCTGTCTGTCTGTGTGTCTCTGTCTCTCTTTCTCTCTCTCTCTCTCTGTCTATCTGTCTTGTCTTGTCTGTCTGTTGTCTGTCTGTCTCTCTCTCTCTCTCTCTCTCTCTCTCTCTCTGCTCTCTCTCTCTCTTTCTCTCAACCGCAAAACCCAGCACAACGTAACCGACCTAAGCTAGACTCTCGAATAGCCCGGAGGGCGCACGTGCGAGACCGCTTTTGGCTCCATAGCGAGCAGAAAACGTGAGCAAGCTGTGTAAGTCGCGCAGTCTAGACAAGGAAGGGCGGATAGTCGTTTGAATGAGCGCCATATGTGGGAGTAGGAATGTGCCGAGTGAGGAAGAAAAGGTGAGCAGAGAAAGAAGTTAGGGAGAAAGAGACATGGATATAGTGATGTATAGATATATAATAAGTATATAATATATATTATAGAGAAGAGAGAGAGCTGTGGGAGAGAGATGGGAGAGTATGAGAGGAGAGTAGGGGAGAGAGGGAGAGAGCGAGAGAGAGAGAAGGGGGGAGGCAGGAGGTTATCGGCGGAAAGCAAGCGCAGAAAGAGACGGAGAGCGCGGAGGAGCGAGGGCAGAGAGAGAAGAGAGGAGAGAGAGAGAGAGAGAGAGAGAGTAGTAGTACGGAGTGTTTTAGCTTTGAGATAGAACATGGGAATTTGGCCACATTACATCAGCAAATGTTGCAGGGACGGCAGGCGATGCGAAGCCCAGCAAGTAGCATTTAGCTGTAATACTTAAGAGCGCACAGTTAATTTCAGCGGTGGACAGAGGCATGATTTGCACACGCAAATGGTACCGCGAGGAGTTACGAACACATAAACTTCAACAGAATGCCGGCGGAGTTTATCAAACGGCCTCATTAAGCGGGTAACGCTAACACGGTGCTCGGCCGCTTTCTACCTGGTACCGTCGTACGTGGTTCGCGAACCGGTCGCTGCTACCCCACGAAATGTTCTAAACAAGGTCGGACGACGATGCGGACCGGTTTAAAAGAGTGGGGTTTTTTGGTGACAACCGGAGAGACGTCCGGGCACATATCTGACCGCTACCGTGTACGCTGTATTCCCTCGGAATTGTGAGAGAGAGAGAGAGAGAGAGAGAGAGACGATGAAGAGAGAGAGGATGAGAGAGAGAGAGAGAGAGAAAGACGACAGCGAGTAGATCTGCCTAGAGAGAGAGAGAGAGCTAACGCGTAACGACCGTGCTCCCACTCTTCCTCTCCAGCCCGCTTTTTTTTTTTCTCCCCTCCTCTTTCTCCACCAGCATTTGCTGTTTTGCTTGTGGTACCCCGTTCGCTGCCGCGTGAACCACCTACTCGCACCGACTAGCGTAAAGCCCAGCCACCTGCCTTCATGCCGGCCCCGTCCACACACTTATCACTTGCCTGCGTACCAGCCGATTCTTCCCTTCTCCCCTCCTCCTCCTCCACCAGCTTCTCCCTTCTCGCCCTGCTCTCCTGGCGCTTCTCTACCAGCTTTATCCCGTCTCTCCCCCCTCCTCCTGCCTCCCCCAATCTTTCTGCTCGCCTTCTACGCCCCAACACAATGCGCACGATATCCAGGATCTCGCGCTGCCCCGCGCCCGCCGCATGTATTCGTCGCAACGGCGCCTGCGTTCGTGAGCGTACGTAGTCTTGCGCTACGGCTGCCACGCCACAGGGACCAGCATGTGTGGGAGCTCGAGCCACGTCAGGGTATCGCACACGTGAAAACGATCGCGAGGCACACGAAAGAACGAAGCGAATAATACGAATGAATACACTATTTCACCGCTCCACTTCCGAGCTGAGTCTACAAATGGAGGGGGCTGACGATATGGAGTGTTTGTTTTTTCCCGTTTCCCAGGTGCCGGTTTCACGTGCGGGTGATAAGCGCTCGGAAAAGGGGACTGTCCAGCGTAGTGTGCGAGGGACAACGTGGAGAGGGCGCGGAAAGCCGAAGGGAAAAGGGGTGTATAATCAACTTTCTTTCATAAAAACCTATTGTAAAAACTAACGCCGGATTCGTTTTCGTGTGGGGAAAGCGGTGAGGCAAAGCGTCGAGAGGGGAAGCGGAACGCGAGGTCGCACAGCAACGGCGAAGGCTGACGCACCAGGGAGAGCTGCGGGGAAGCTGGGTGAGGGAGAGAGGAGGAGGGCGGGGAGAAAGAGCGGGAGGGGAAGGGGCGGGGGAAAGCGGGGGGAGGGAAAGGGTGGGGCGCGGGAGAGAAAGTGCGGAGAGAGGGGTGAGATAGGGTGGGCGGGGAAAGCAGGGGTGAGGACAAGGGGGCGGGGAAACGGGAGGGGAAGCGGGAGGGAAAACGGGAGGAAAAGCAGGAAGGGAAGCGGGAGGGAAAGGGGGCAGGGAAGCGGGAGGGGGAATGGGCGGGGAAGCAAAAGGGGGGGGGGAGAGGGTCATTTGCTCGCCTAGTTAGATTTTGGTGGCATCGTGTGATCGGAGAAAGAGAGGTCGTTTGTCTTGTGCGTTGACGGTGTACGGAGTCGGGTATATGTGGGTACGTGGTACGCGGGTGGGAGGGCGTCGAATGACCGTGTGGTACGCGGGAGGTCGACGAATAGCCGCGTGATCGGGGTAGGAGGTCGTGCGGTTGCGTAGTACGGTGGTGGGGGTCGTGCGGTTTCGTAGTACGGTGGTAGGAGGTCGTGCGGTTTCGTAGTACGGTGGTGGGGGTCGTGCGGTTTCGTAGTACGGTGGTGGGGGTCGTGCGGTTTCGTAGTACGGTGGTGGGAGGTCGTGCAGTTTCGTAGTACGTGGTGGGGGTCGTGCGGTTTCGTAGTACGGTGGTAGGAGGTCGTGCGGTTTCGTAGTACGGTGGTGGGGTTCGTGCTGTTTCGTAGTACGGTGGTAGGAGGTCGTGCGGTTTCGTAGTACGGTGGTGGGGGTCGTGCTGTTTCGTAGTACGGTGGTGGGGATCGTGCGGTTTCGTAGTACGGTATTGGGCGTTGTGCGGTTTCGTAGTACGGTGGTGGGGATCGTGCGGTTTCGTAAGGTCTGAGTGGTGGGAGGTACGTGCCGTGTTAGCGGTGTACGGTTGGGTGCGGGGTTCGTGCGCGATTTCGTCAGTACGGGTGGTGGAGTTCGTACGGTTTCTTAGTGTTACGGGTGGTGACACGGAGGTCGTCGGGGGGGGATTCGTGTGGTGCGGGAGGGGGTCCTGCGTCCACGTGGTCGGGGGAGGGGGGTCGTGCCGTCACCAGGTCGAGGGGAGGCGGTCGAGTGGTCACGTGGTCGAAGGGACGGTTTGTCGATCGGAAGTTGTAATTACGGAGATAAACAACAGACACAGCTTCCTCGTAGAGCGCCGCCGTCTGCCGCTCGGCCAGGGCATGGTGCCGGCGGAAACGCACCGGTGACGCCAGTCTAGGCTTCCTGAGGAAGTCGTAATAGCCAGGAAGCGAGCAGCGATGCAGAAAAAAGCGCCGTCCGCAGTTTTAAAAGCCACGCAGCCGCTATCTTTTAACTGCGCACAGAGGTGGGGGACAAGCAGAGAGCGAAAGAGAGAGTGAGAGAACAAGAGGGAGACCGAAAGA